GGGGGCAAGTAGTAACCCTTTTACTGTTCAGTTGGTGTTATTTGGTTCCAATATAACTTACTACTATTCTTGTATATAACTTTTATGCCTTAATTATAAAAATTGTATACATTTTTAACTACAAAATAATATTATTTTGTAGTTAAAAATGCCCATTTTATTACAAAAATATTTTATTTATTATTCAAATTTGTTCCTTCATTATTATAGACTTTCTCGTGGACGTAAATCAATAGAATGTGCTTTCGGAATGATGACATCAAAATTTAGGATATTGGAAAGCCCAATATGCCGTAAAGTTGAAAAAGTTGATACTTTAGTTAAAGCAATATGCGTTTTACATAACTTTATACGTACACACGATGGTATTTTTTCAACTTCCGCAGATCCACAAGAATCTTCTACAGGATATAGTGGTGAAACTCAATTCAACTCACAAGAAAATAGAAGTAGAACAAGACCATCTAATGTCGCAGTAGAATCGAGAGATAGATTATGCTATTATTTTTTAAAACCATATGCATCACTTCTTCTTCTTCTTCTTCTTCTTCTTGTCTGTAATCGACCATTAAGATCATACATTCAAACATATATCTTGCCATTTCACTCTATCCAACGCTAAGACCTTCCAATCGACACTTTCGTCTGTCACTTGTACGTCCTTCCTGACTTGGTCTTCCCATCTTAGTCGAGGTCGTCCCAAGGGTCTCTTTCCTTGGGGAGTCCCACATTGAACCATTCGAATTAAAGTTCCTTCCTTTCTCCATGCATGTCCTGCCCATTGGAGTCTCTTTTTTTAATTTCTCTAATTATATCAGACATTTGGTACAACTGTTTGAGCTCCTCGTTTTTTCGAATTCTCCATTCCCCTGTGTACTCATCTATACACGGTCCGAAGATTCGTCTTAATATTTTTCTTTCGAATATCAGTAGTCTGTTTTGATCTGATTTCCGTAATGTCCATACTTCACAACCATACATTACCACTGGACGGATGAGGGTGCGATACAGATGTATCTTGAGGTTCATCGATATCGTCCTCGTCTTTAACCAATTACTTAGACCGTAGTAACACTTATTACCGGATTGGAGTCTTGCTTTTATTTCATTAAGTTCATCGTTTTTTTGTGTCATTATCGATCCCAGATATTTGAACTCCTGCACTCTTTGAAACTTGTACTGCCCGACTTCTAAAAATGGGTGATCATTAGAGGTAGGATTTATATTCTCTTAAAATCCTTAAAATATGATGTTTTTATGTCACATAAAATAGGCAATATATTCTCTTAATATTCTTTTAAAATACCAGATATATGATGTTTTATGTCTTTAAATATGCAAAATATTCTTTTAATATTAAAAAAAAAATTATTAAATTTATTTTTTATTAATTTGGTTTTAAATATATTTAATTTAATCTATTTTACAATAACAATTAATAACTATATATTGTTCCATGTGTTCCGGTGTCATTTTAGTACGCCGGTTTGTAAGAATGTTCTTGTAAATGCTGAAGGATCGTTCGACATCAACCGATGTCACTGGAGAATATTGCAAGTCGGCTACCATAGTCGGTGAATAATTTTCCGGAAGTTGTATTGTGTTATTTCCACTAAGAACTTGTCCAATATTTTTCAAAAATTTGTATCCTTTGTTTTTTTGTTGAAGTTGCAATATTTTTGTCTTTACTACTTCTCCTTTTTCTCCTGGTATCTGCTCAAGTTGTGTGAAAGTGTTTTCGATAATATTTATCATATCAACTAAGGCAGTATTTGATTTTTCCAAACTTTTGATAGTTGTAACAATTTGAAGAAAATTAGTTTTAATAAAAATCAAATCATTTTTTACAGACTGTAAGTGTAACATGTTTTTGCATTTTTCAATACTGACTGACGACTTTTCTTCACTTAATTTGTCTATAACATTTTTCAAACCCTCAAAATGATCGAAATTAAATACAGCGGCTTCCAGCCAAGTTCCCCACCTAGTTAATACGGGTTCTGGAGGTAATGGCAGATTGGGTAATATTTCTTTGTACACCTGGACATGATATGGCGCTTTTAAAAATACTTTTTTTAGATTACTGATTAATGTGTTCACATTTGGAAACATTTCTCTGACTTTCTCTGCAACCCTGTTCATCATGTGAGCTACACACGTAACGTGAATTAAATTTGGGTAGAAAACTTTTAGTGTATCACCGGTTTTTGTCATGTATGGAGCTGCATCCGATAACATTAACAACACTTTTTCGTCATTTCCACCCAACGGCCATAATAATTTTAGTCCATCATTGATAAACCGAGCAACAGTGGAATGATTAGTTTTTTCCAAAACTTTGCATGTCAGGAGAAATGGGCGAGTCGGAGTATTTGATTTTAATATTCCCACCAGTAAATTTGCAACATAACGACCGTCTGTATCTGTAGTTTCATCTACAGCAATCCAAATATTATTTTCACCAATTTCATTTTTGATTTTTGTTAAAGTATTATAGTAGCACGGCTCGAGATAATTTTTACGTAACGCACTTTCATCTGGTATATGTTTGCCAGTGTATTTCTCTAAAAATGTACGAAATTGAGGAACTTGCATTTTATACCAAGGTATATTAGCTGCTACTAAGGCTAGACACAAATCTTTGTTAAAATCATTTTTATTTTCATTGGGAGTAGCTTCTGATAAAAATAATTGTTTTGATGAAGTATTTAATTTACGTTTTAAACCATTTATGTGGACATTAGTATGTACATGTTGTGTTACCTGTGACTTTTTGGTGCAAGTAATATTTTTGTCACAAACTTGACAAAAAATTGTTGCACCATCTGTCGTGAAAATCGTTTCTTGGTTATTGTACGACGAAATCCATTGAGCAAATAAACTTTTTAAACTGCTTGAAGTTTTCGGCATATTTGTATGTTATAGACAGTTATAGTAATATGAGACGAGTGGAAAGAAAATATTATGTATATCACACTCAGATATCAACACTCGACGCGATGCGACGGACGACTAGTAGACGACGAGAATAGTCGTGACAGCTAACGAAATAACCGATGTGCTATCGCAATCGATAAGGAATACATGGAGATTAATTTTTATTAAAACCCAGAAATAAATCATTTAGTGAACATTGTATTTATCAAAGTGCTGATATACGTGAAATATGTTCATTATATGCCTATTTTAGAAAAATATTCTCAAATATTCTCTTACGTATTAAATATTCTCTAACCCCTAAAATATGCTTTTTTATGCAAAATAAATTTTTTCCTGTGAATTCTGTGTTTCATGAATCGTAAAGATTTCTCACTCCCATTTAACTGCATAGACTAGAAACGAATATGTAAAATCATAAAAATCCGACCTCTAGTGATCATGATCCGCGAGCTCTCTTCTCTGCACGATCATGTTTCAGAAAAACATTTATTTCTAAACCTATTCTTTTTGCCGTGTCTAATAGTTTTCCCGCTTGCTCCCTGAGATTTTCCTTATTTTCCGCAAGTAACACTATGTCGTCCGCGTAGGCCAATACTCCTATTATGCAATCTCCCAATCGTACTCCGTTTTCTTCAATCCGACTCTCCCTGATGACCTTTTCTAACGCTATATTAAATAGTATGGGTGACATAGCGTCCCCTTGTCTCAAACCAGTCGATACTGGTATCCCTTGTGATACAATATTGCCCACTTTAATTTTGATTTCCGTGTGTAGGATGTTTGCTTTTATCAGATTAATTAATTTCTGGGGCAATTTGAACTGTCTTAGTACATTCAACAGAGATTCTCTATGTATGCAATCATAGGCCTTCTTGAAATCAATAAACAGTACATGTACTTCCCTGTCAAACTCCCACATTTTTTGGAAAATTTGTTTCAAAATAAATATCTGATCTGTGGTAGATCTATTTTGTCTAAACCCTGCTTGATAATCTCCTAAAATATCTTCTGCCCACGGCTTAATTCTGTCTAATATACATTTGGATAGCACTTTATAGGTAACATTTAATAGAGCGATACCTCTATAATTATCACACAACTGCTTATCTCCCTTTTTGTGTATAGGATATATCAGCGCTGTTTGCCATTCCTCCGGAATCGCTTCTTTTTCCCAAACTTCTTTTATTAGCCCGGACACATATTCAAGCAAGCCATTTCCCATACTTTTAAGTAACTCTCTGGGGATACCATCTTCTCCGGGTGCCTTATGGTTCTTTAAGTTTCTTATTTGTTCTTGAATTTCCTCCTTACTCGGTGCTAGGCAGATTGTATTATTAGTTTCCATATTCTCAAGGTGGAATAAACTATCTGGTGTATTACAGTTCAACAGCTGCTTGAAATAGTTCGCCCATTTATTTGCTATCTCTTCTTTAGATGTGATAAGCTTTCCATCATCATTTTTGAGAAATTTCTCCGGCTGCTTATATTTCTTACTTAAGAAGTTAACCTTTTTATATAGGTTTCTTGTATTGTGACTAGTAAAATTCTGTTCTGCCTCCTTAAGTATGTTTTGTAAATATTTTCTTTTTTCACATCTTAATATGTTACTCGCTTCCCGTTGTCTCATTTTGAATCTTTCTAACTTCTCCACACTATCAGTGTCGGACAGCCATATATTTCTAGCATTCCTTCTTCTTTCTATGGCTTCTTCGCAAATATCATTAAACCAGGTTTTTTTCTTAGTTTTTTGTTTCCCTATTGTTTTTTCTGCTCTTCTTGAATAAGTTGTTTTACCGTTTTCCACCTTTGTTCCACTTCTCTGCCTGACTCACTTGCAATCATCCTTCTTAACTTTTCCTCTATACCTTTTTGAAAATTCTCAACTACTACTGGATAGTTAAGGTTCGCGATGTCAACCCGTCCCGTAGCTCCTCCTCTCCTTATTTCTTGTCTTCTTTTTAAATTCACTCGTAGTCTACCTGCCACAAGAAAGTGATCCGAATCGCTATCGGCTCCACGTACGGTTTTTACATCCATAATACTGTTATTAAATCTTTCATTCACCAGTCTATTTGATTTACATGTCGTCCATCTGGTGACCTCCATGTACCTTTGTGTATGTTCTTATGAGGGAACATGGTACTTTTAACCCTTAGATTTCTTCCCGTTGCCAAGTCAATAAGTCTACACCCATTAACATTCGATAACTGGTGTAGACTATGCCTTCCTATTATCGGCTTAAAACATTCTTCACGTCCGATTTTTGCGTTAAAATCTCCTAATATGATTTGTACACAGCCTCTTGGTATCTCACACAGTGTATTGTCTAACAACGAGTAGAAATCATCTTTTTCATTAACATCTTTGTCCTCTGTAGGAGCATGCACATTTACGAAGACTACTCCAAACCATTTTGTATCTAGTGTCAAGATCGTTAATCTAGGGTTTATAACTTTAAAACTTTTTACAGCTGTTAGTAGCTTGTTGTTTACCGCGAAACCACTTCCAGCTTGTCTTCTTCCGTCACAAGCACCAAAAAACAGCGTTGTATTACTTATCTGCATTGAACCCGTATTTTTCCACCTCATTTCCTGTAGTGCCACTACTCCTAACTTGTACCTTTCTATCTCTTTAACTACTGTTCCTACTGCTCCAGGTTTGAATAAAGTGCGTACATTCCAGGTTCCAAAACGTAATGCCGATTTCCAATTTTCCAGTCTAAAGTCCTTTGATCCACAATTCCTAGGCAAATTTATGTTTGATTCCTGAACAAGGGATTTTTACAGAATAGGTTGTTAGCCTATCGCCAACTCCATTATACCCATGGAGAGGGTAGCTCGGGGCCCCAGGTTCGCTAAACCCGTAGTACTAATTGCTTAGTACTCCCCTGAGGGTTTGCCATATGCATCACTGCATTCGCAAAACAATTATGCTATTTAATTATTTAATTTTATATGTGGGTAATATGAAATATTGTTAAGTCAATTATGAATAAGTAAATATATTAAGTGAATAAGTGAATAAATTAAATGTACAATATAGTTCTTGTATAATATCTATTGTTCGTAATAATTTAGTAATTAAACAAATAACTAACCTGTGGCTCCAATTTGTTTTCCAATATTTTCCCAAGCTTTATCTTGCGCACCTCTACATGCGTATTCTTTTGTATTATAATCATAAATACATTTATGATTTTCAATGAATTCAACGAATTTTATGTTGAATTCAGGATCGTCCTTCATAATGGAACTGTTAAATATTAAAACAAAATTACACAACTAGGTACCTGTACCTGTAGGTATTCGGTCAAAATATCCAAATCTATCCGTTTTTACGTAGATTAGTAAATTACACATTATAAAAATATTATATAATATATTAATTACGTTAGTAGTAATAATATCACAAAATATAGTGCACACACATTAGTCAAATAGTCAAATAATAGTTATAAAATAAAATATTAAATAATTTGCTAGAAAATGACTACCTACACTATTTTCTAAAAATTTTCTAAAAAAATTAGCTCTTAAAATTAGTTAAACCTATATAGGTATATACCCACACAGCATCACTAATAGTAAAATAAATGTTGCACAAACATTAGTTAAATAGTCAAATAATATAAAATAAAATGTAAAATAATTTGTTTTTATGAACACACAATAAAATAAAATAAAATAGTAAGTAATTTGTTAAAAAATATAACTACCTACACTATTTTCTAAAAATTTAGAAAAACGTTTTTCAAAATAGAACATTTTATTTTAATTTATAATAAAATTAGCAATTGCACTTAAAAAATTTGGAATGTCCCAACTTCCATCATAATACTCTTCACAAAGATATTTTAACATATATTTTCTTTTATTTTTCAATGGTAGTCCAATAGTACCCAGTTGACGCTGCGCGACTTTGGTCTCGTCTGCTGCATTTTCATGCCGCATCTTAGTAATCAATGTCCAAATTGTTGGATGTTTGTGATTCTATAATTATTCTATTATTACAATTAATGTAATTTATTTTACTATTAGTAATTAGTCATTTGAGATATTTAAGATAATTTTATTAGTAAGTAAAGTGTAATCTACTAATTTACGTAAAAACGGATACATTTGGATATTTTGTCCTAGATTCGTACCTGTAGTAGGTTATGCATAGTATACTTTGTAATGAATATTAATAAGTAGGTACTTACTTCCTAAATAAATACTGTATTTTGAACTAACAAAAAATAACTTCTTTAAATATATTAAATATATTACTTCTTGTATAATTATAAACTTGTATACTTGTATACTAAAAACTTAAAAACTTTGTATACTGTCCGTCGTCACTCCGTCGAGCGCAATTTGGAAATTATGCATTTCCATGTGACAAATGACAAAAAGTAGAACACGCGCTATTTTTCGAGGGACAAGCAACAACAATATTTAAACATGAAATTACATGTCGATTTGTTGAGCGGGATAAAGTGATTTTCAGTTGTAATTGTGAACAAAATTATATGAATGACATGTTACTAACACGTCACTCGTCATTTCACTCGTCATGTTACTTTGGTGAGCGCTGCCCCTAAGAAGACATACCTATTTATCTTTTCAAATAAATCCAGTTATTTTTTATGAACCTTTGAACTTAAAAATCACTAACATTTGCAAATTATTTTAAGAACTAAAATTGTATCTTTTTACATCTAAGTTTTTAAAATTTAATACACGATTTCTTATAAATTTGTCTACTTTAATCAGAAAAAAAATATCTGCCAGAAAGCCAAATTAAATTTGTACGAGAGTTTGAAATTAAAAACTTCATAATATTGGATATTCATTTGATTTCTCATGTAGCGATTTTCTTATTTTATTCCAAGTTCTTCTAGGATGTGAGGATGATGTTTGAACACTTTTTTCTTAGGCAAAGACCTCTCCATGTCACCCTTCAATTGACCAGATGCTCTGGAAACATTTGTCACAGTTCCTCGCCCGTTGAAACCATGGCGGCAGCTGACGCCAGGTAAAACTAGACACTTCCACAAATATCCTCACCACAATATTCATTTGGATATTCAAAACCGATGCATACCTTATGCACCACATAGTATGTTTTTGTTAATAAGTAACCATGACAGCAAAAATCAGTCAGAAACAAAAAATCTTGTACTCAGAATAAGAACATAACCATGTCAAATTAATTTTAACTTTGGGCATGTTGTAGCTCAGTCAAATTACGATTTTCACCTCTCCAACTTCCTGGTTCAACTTCTCCTGTCAATATATTTTTTGTATCAAAACTCTCCTGTAAAAAAATATCCATTTTTTTCTTCGTAAATAATTATGTAGATGATAAGAAGCTCGGACAATTATTGTAGCTTTTTCAGGACTGAGATTGATAGTTTTCAAAAGTATTCTGAAACTTGATGAAAGTATTCCAAATGAATTTTCAATTACTCCTCGGGCTCTTGGCAGTCTCTAGTTGAAAATTCGTTTTTCTTTTATTAGATTTCTTTGTGAGTAAGGTTTCATCAAATTATCGGACTATGGAAAAGCATCATCAGCCACGAAAATGTAGGGCATTTTGCAATTAATTCCGAGTAAATAATCAGGTTTAGGTAACTTCAGTTTATTTTATTGAAGATGCTCACAAGACAATAAATTTGAAAATACTTCACTATCAGATACTCTTCCATTGGAGCCAATATCTACCATAAGGAACTCGTTGTTGGCATTACAACCTGCCATTAAAACAATGCTAAAATTATTCTTATAGTTGAAATAATAAGAACCAGATTCTTGAGGTTTCGTAATGTCTATATGTTTGCCGTCAATTGCGCCCAAACAATGATTAAAATTCCAATTTTTTTCAAACACTTCTGATGTTGCTTTCTACTCATCTTAGGATGCTAGCATCTAAATATAAAATAGTTAAAAATTAACTAAATTTGAACTCATTAATTGGTTCTGGATGAAAGTAATTGTGATATGGCCGAAATTGATGTGGTTAGTTCTTCGCCAAAACCAGGTGGACCACCAAAAAAAATAGCGAGAAAGGTGATTTTGAAGAAAAAAGGAAAAATAATTTACTATAATTGGCATGTCTCAGCGTAGTTAATGTAAATCTGATAATGATATTATGAGGACATTCTGTTTGAGGCTCGATTAAACACTTTACACCGCAATTCGATATCTATAAATCATGTTTGCTCAGATTTTCGTTCTTCAACTCCATCAACTTTCAATCAACGCACTGCCACACCAATTCTATTAACTGATACTTCTTCAACTTTGTCAAGCACCCAACAATCGTGGCCAAATACAGCTTGTAATACATTTTCTGATTTCTTATCAGACCCTCAATATTCAACACCGTTTTAAGCATTAAGAAATACTTATTTTTTAGTTTATAAAGTTTAATACTATTTTTTTTTATAATTTTTATTTGACACTCAACATAGGTAAATTTAAGCATTTTTTATACTTAAATTTATAATAAGTTTTTATTTTTATTAAAGTTTTAAGTATTATTTTTTGTTATAATTTTGAATTGATACTTAGGATGAATTTAAGCATTTTTAAATACTAATGTTTTTAAGTTAATTTATTGTTTGGAATATTAAAGTTGCAATTTTTATATTTTGTTTAATATTTTCTTGATACTAGTAATAAAAAGTAAAATAGTCTAATTCAGTTAAGGTATGATAAAAATTACTTACTCTGATATTATTTTTCAATACTAATGTATTAGCTTCACATGTTTCAACTACAATTCTTCCAATTGATTGAGGTGAAATTGCTGAATAAACTTCAGTTCTTCAAAGTTTGCACCAGTAGCTACAAATCTTAGAGTGCACGATAAACGTTGGCTTGGTGGTATAGCTTCTCTCAGTGTTTCTTTTAAAAATTAATGATGTAACCATTTCCAATCTGAAAATGTTGAATTGTCCATACGAAGATCATTTTTATAGTCGGATGAAGATGATAAACGCAATTCGTCAAGTAGATTATGATGAGAAAATGTATGTTTCTTCTTAAACCATTCTTTCATCCAGAACCTTTTTTCTTTTTTTTTCTTCCTTTTTTCATACGCTAAATATATTATATTGCAATAACGACAAGAGCATCTTCTTCCATTTTATTAAAAAAGGTGAAAAATTAAAAAAGAATTTTTATTTAAAAATGGTAAAATTAGTAAAATAATTAAGCACTATAGAGAGAATAAAGTAAACACAAACTGCTGTGTAGAATAAATGAGAACTGTCAATCTTGATTGACCATAGGTTGTATGTGTATGGCAACCATCAGTCATCAGTCGAACTGTCATTCTTTGAATGATAGTGTATGGCCCGCTTTAAGTTCATTACCGCAATCGCTCCCCAAACAATTGGACAAATTATCATAGAAACATGTGAAGCTTATTATAACTGTATATAACTGTACTAAAAAATAATATAATGGTAATTAAATTTATTTATTTTTAATTCATTAAAAAAATGGTTTCAATTTGTTTAAATAGTTAAAAAATAATAAAAATAATACATCTTAATTTTTATATTGAGTGTCGTTAAGAAGTTCACTGAAACTAATAAACTATTGTAAGCTGTCGTGTTTGAAACGTGTGGGGTCTCCCATGAATGACCAGACAGTGATGAATTTGAATTTGAAGATATATAAACAGGCGTAGGTTGAATAAATGTAGATGGTGTTGAAGAGCACAAGCATACACAAGAATGATTAATTTTTACTGAGTTTCTATGGAGAGTTTTTAAGCGAGCTTCAAACAGGATATCGGTAATTGGTTTTTGAGCAAACAGTTGTTGGTTCAAGTTTTCCTAGTTAAATTGCTCACGATTTTGCTACAATGTCGTTATCGGATGTAGATTGTTGTAGGCGGCTGCATGCTAATTCTAGCAAATCATTCATCCTTTTTTCTTCAGAATTTTCCATTTTTTTCTGGTTCGTGTGAAGTTGTTTTAAGAGTTTCAAGGGGGCTTGTTTTGAACATATATTCGTATAAATAAAATAAAATAAATAATTCATTGGTACATTTTATCGATTTCAGATACCTGCATCAGAAGAAGAATGGAAAATTATTTCTAATTACTTTGAATCAAAATGGAATTTTTATCTTTGTTTGGAGGCGATCGATGGCAAACACATAGAGATAATAAGACATCAAGATTCTGGTTCCTATTATTTCAATTACAAAAAAACGTTCAGTATTCTTTTAATGGCAATTGCAAATGCCA